TTTAGTACATTTGAGGGATGTCACAGGAATGGAAGCTCTGAAACACATGTGAGGTGGCCAGCATGGTAGGCAGGGCCCTGACAGATATCCTCATCTGGATGACTCCCTCTCTGCACCCTCAGAAGCTATCCCTCACACAATCCTGTTCCTTTCACTTTTCAGATCTCTCCAGAACCCATCTGTTTCTTTCCATCTTCACTACCCAAGGCCTAGCTACTTCTACAAGATGACAGCAGCCCCCAGCAGCCTGTCCTGCCTCGTTCTCACTGTCCATGTTGGGCCAGGCAGATATTCTCCGCATCAGTGGCTCCTCGGTGCCACTAGGACAAACCCAAAGTCGTCCGGTGTACAACAGTCTTCAGCATCTGGCCTCTGTTTACCGCCACATCTAAGCCTGCGTCATCCCCTCTCAACTTCTAGGTCTTAAATGTGCTCTAACTGCACCCTGAATGCTTGTGGGTATCTTCCCTTTCCTTCTGCACAGCATCTGCCCCCCACCATGGTGGGGCTTGAGCCCAGGGGCACTCTGCACTGAATTCTATTTTCATTTTGAGATAGGGTCTTGCTAATTGCCCAGGCCAGGCTTGAACTTGTGATGTTCCTGCCTCAGCCTGCTGAGGAGCTGGAATTACAATCATGTACCACTGCTTCCAGGTTAATGTTCCTTTTATCTCAGGCCTCAATGCTCACTCCAAGTGGGACACCCTGTCCTTAAAGCACCCAGGATATGGCAGGGAATCGAACACTAAACATCTGAGCAGGTAGACAATGCAGGCCCCACACCCCCTGGGAGCCTAGGGTGCAGAGATACAGTACCTTCCCCCATGGGTCCTTGTTTGTCTTCTCTTTAAAAGGATTTTGCCCCCTTTTTAATTAGGGGACATACAAAGTGAGGGACAAGATAATCTTTGTTTTGGGGGGTTGTTGTTTTTCTTTTTGGAGACAGGGCCTTGCTATATAGTCCAGGCTGGACTTGAACTCACTGCATAGCCCAGGGAGTCTTTGAACTCAAAGCAATTTTCCTGCCTCAGCCTCCCAAGTGCTGGTACTACTGGAATGCACCATCAGGCCAAGCACAAGATAGTTTGTAAGTAGAAATATACAAACACATAGTCTTTGTGATGTACCGTATTAGATCTATGAGAAGTCCCTTTAATTCTAGCCCTTTTCTTAGCAAGGTCTTTAAAGATCAGGAACAGTACAGAGAGAGAGGAAATCTAGGGGAAAAGTGGTTAAATTTAAATGACAAGAATATTTACCATTAGCCACAGCTCCCCAGCGGTGGGATGAACTGGCCCAGAGGTCTGGAAGGATCTCTGAGGTAGAAAATAGTAGTCCCAACCTTTTTCATTATTTAAAAAAAATTGTGGCTCTCTAAATATCTATCATTGAATACATGGATGACAAAAAGGTGGTGTGAGGCAACACTTTTAAATACTTTAAAATTTTACTGAATTCCAGTGCTATCTCTCTCCATTTGGTACAGAAAATATGTTTATTCCTTCCAAAGACAATATTTGATGCATCTGTGGACTTAAGGGTCTTTTGCAGAAGATTCTGGCCCACAGATCAGGAGATGTCGCTGTGTGATAAATCGTCCATGAAGTAAGCAGAGGTTGGTTTACTTTGTAAGTAAACCAGTTTGATGAACTTCCCAGTACCAAACCCAGCACTCCAAAGGTAGGGATTATTAAAGTACTCTCTCCCTCTGACCCGGTCTTTATCTGAAAATGAAGTTCAAGCCCAACAGTAGAGGTTCCAGCTCTCATGGGGTGGGGCATTTTGCTAGTCCGAAGTGTAACAGCTGTTCCCAAGTCTTTCCTCAGGTGGGAATGGCCTGGAAAACGGCTTTGGTAATTAACGGTGAGGACTCGGTGCTGACAGCCTTTGTCTCTGAATGCATGTGTGATGAGAAACGGCTGTTTGGAATCATTTGATTGTGAATGGAACGTCCCAGTCTTGCCTGTGATGACAAAGCCCCAGGGGTCATTTCACCGACACACAGGTCCTGCCAGTGAATCAGTTTAAACTCAGAAAGGATAAAAGTAAAGATCTTTATTTGTGGTCTTAGGAACTGCTACGCAGGAGACCCAAGTACAGTTTGTTTGAAACAGTGTTCTGAAGAAGGCAGGGAAGATGGGCAAGCTGTTGTTACAAGTCAGTAAAAATTCTTCGGTGGGGAAACTTCTCTTAGAGTTGAGACTAGAGGCTGTGCAACAGGGGGCACGTGACTGATAGAAGACCAAAAAATGCACATACTTCATAAAAATGTCCATAATACAAGAATCCATAACCCTTTGAGATTCGTCTTGAGTCTCTGAGCACACTGTGATTTGTTCCAGATACTGGCAATCAAAGGGGGAGGTGGCTGAAGTCCACCTTCTCCAGCAGCAGCTTGTGTCATGCAGAAGTCCTGCTTCCTTGGGCCAGGGATTTAGCTCAGTGGTTCCACCCACCTGCCTCGCAAGCTGAGGACCTGGGTTCGATCCCTGGTACCAAAAAAAAAAAAAAAAGAAGTCCTGCTTCCCTAATGGCCTCCATTTAGAAAACCTCTCTCAATCTTGCTTTTGTTGTAACTTTCCTTTTATTTTCACAGGCATCATTCCTCTCTCAGGTCTAACACTCTACATTCCTCTTAACCATTAGATTCCTGCAGAATAAGGTCCCTGACTCCACTTCCCAACCCTCCTGGTAATCAGGAGGTGATGTTCCTAATGGAACATAAAACAATGTTTCTAACAGGACTCAAGCCTTCCAAGACCATGAACTGCTCGTGAGTGACCAATGACATCACCAGTTCCAGGAACATTCTCCTATCTCTTGACCAAAGATTACCGAAGAGACCCAATTGCTAAACTGCTTCTGCTTCAGCACCCACTTCAAGATGACCCCCTTCCTCTGGTCTCTCAGACTCTCAAAGAAGCACACACCCTAAGCAAATCCCCTTCTGCCTCTACTGAGATGCACCTCTGTCCTCCTGGGGTGCCACCTGTCTTGTAACTGGCCACAGCTACACTCCTGGTGATCCTTTTCTAGTGGGTTTTATCAGAATGACTGAAGTGTTTCTTCACCTATGAGGCCAATTTGTAGACAGATGATATACAGTCATGTCATGCAACACATAATGATGCCTTTGTCAGTGACAGATCACATATACAATGGTGGTATAGTAAGGTCACACCAATATTGCCTAGAAATATTAGTGTCTTAATTTGTTTGACATTTCCAACAACAAAACTACCTAACAATACATTTTTCAGAACAAATTCCCATCAAGTGCGTCATGACTGTACTGCTTTCCATATGCTCACTACCTACAAGTAGTGACCTTTTTTTTTTTTTTTTGGTACCGGGGATTGAACCCAGGTCCTCAGCTTTCGAGGCAGGCGGAACCACTGAGCTAAATCCCCGGTGGCCCTGTAGTGACCATTCCTGATGGGATACTCAGAGACAGGAGGGAACTTGCAAAGGGTGGCAAAAACTAGGAGAAACACCAAATTCATGCCCAGAAGGAAATGGAATTGAAGAGGATGGGATTGGAACTGAAGAACATAGGAGACTTAACTTTATAATACTTTTTTAATTTTCAAAAATAACTTGAAACACTTGTAAATATTTGGGGTGGCAAATATAGGCACTTATATTAGTTTCTGTATTTTATAAAATTTTTCCCCAAAATGAGTGCTTGTAGGTTTTTTGTTTTTGTCTTTGTGGTACTGGGGTTTGAACCCAGGGCTTTCACACTGAGCTACATGTTATAGCTGTCCCAGCGAAAAAGACGACGCCACAAAAATGTCCAAATTAAAGGAGTCCTTTTAATTAGCCAGCGACCAAGGATGAGCTCTTGCTCCCATCTTCCTTGTTACCAATCAAGCAGGGAAACCCAGTTTTGTTTTGTTTTTTTGGTACTGGGGATCAAACTCGGGACCTTGCGCTTGCAAGGCAGTCGCCGGAACCACTGAGCTAAATCCCTGACCCTAGGGAAACCCAGTTTTTAAAGGGAAAAAACCCCACATAATGGTATGTCATGATCTCACCTTTGAGCAAGCACAGGGCTACAGAAGCGGACTGCAGGTTAGATTAAAATCCAATTTTGGGATTTGGCAGGAAATTCTTATCTTTATGGTTAGGATTGCAGTATAACGTGTTCTGTCCTTTGTTCTTAACCACAAGGTAAGCTGTGTGCTGGTTAACATCACTTTGAACAAGCAGTCCGGGGAGGAAAAGGGGTAAAGTTCAGGCGCAGGTTATTGGGGGGTTTCTGGTTAACTCGCTGACTTCACTACATCATCAACTTTTTATTCTTTTGAGATAGAGTCTCACTAAGTCACTAAGTAGGTCAAGTTGGACTCGAACTTGCGACCCTCCTGCCTCAGCCTTTAAGAATGCTGGGATTAAAGGAAAGAAGGGAAAGGAAAAATGATGAGAAATGGAAAAAATGGAAATAAAGTCTTTGTAAATAGGGAAGGGTGGAGGGGGTGAAGGGAGGGCTAGGAATGGGGAAAAAACCAAGATGCATCATGTAAAGGTACAATTCCAAGTGAGAAATGTAATTGCGTTATATACCTACAATGTACCAATAAAAGAATTTAATTTTAAAAAAAAGAAAAAAAAAAGAATGCTGGGATTACAGATGTATGCCACCGTGCTCAGCATGTTGTTGCTTTAAAAAAATTAAATAACGTGTCAAACATTTCTTGAGTACCTATTATGTGCTTGGCACTCTGACCAAACGTACCCGCAAATCAAAACGGCCCAGGGGCGGGGATTTAGTTCAGTGGTTCCGCCGCCTGCCCTGCAAGCGCAAGGACCCGAGTTTGAGTTCGATTCCCGGTACTAAAAACAAAAAAAGTTTGCCCCGCCCCTGACCTCCCCGGCCTCGGCTCCAAACTCCGCCCAAGCCCCCCCTACCCCGTCCAGGTCTTGGCCCCGCCCACATAATGATTTACGTGTATGACTTCCGGCTGCGCTGATTGACCTGACCAATCAGAAGACGTAGAGCCTGCCGGTCCGTGGAGCCCGCCCCGTGACTTCAAGCGCGGCGACGGCGATGGGGACGAGCAGCCGTGTGGCGCTGCGATTGGGGTCGCTGCTGTGGCGCGGGGCTGCCTCCCGGGGAGGGGATTCCGCGGTAGCTGCCATGCCCCGGCTTCAGCTGCTGGCGCTGGGACGCCTCCCCGCGGGACCGGCGCCTTTCCGGGCCTACCTGACTCCGGACCTTGTGTGCGGCCTGCACAGCAGGCCTCAGCGGGACGAGCGGACGGGCGGTGAGGCGCGCCCGGAGCCCGGCGCCGCAGGTACGGTTTGCGCAGCTGGGCGCTACGCCCTGCACGGGAGGCTCTGCTTCCCCTGTATGTTTCCAGTACGACTCACAAACTACAGACCCAAAGCTGGGACGGACTTCGGAGGTTGCCCCCGCCAGCCTTCCTGTTTCACAGTGGAGACACGGGCCACGCGCTGAGCGGTCGTCCTCACAAACCCAGACATCCACGTGGTATCACGACTTCACCGTCCTGAGCCCCACTCCCTACCTGGGGGCCCAGGGAATGTGGATCGTTGGGAGTGTTGGGCCGTGAGGATTCCGAGGGACAGCCAAGGACTGCGGCCAAGGGATGTGCAGGAAACGCTACTAGGAGATGGGTCCCTCTGAAGATCCTGTAATGGCTGCACACGCTTTTAAACTTTTACACTTTTTTTTTAAAGTTAAACTTTTAACTTTTTTGAAACTTGAAAAATCGTGAACAAGTCTTATCTGCGAAATTACAGAATTTGAGAGAGAGAGGTTTTCGTGGGCTTTGCTACTAGGTGCTTCGGAGTCAGGATTGGAATTTAGGAGAGCTATAAATTTACAGACGCTAGTACTCCAAGCTGAAGAACAGAATAAAACCTCCATGAAGAAAAGCTACATTTTCATAAATAACAGTTGTTAATAACCAGAATTGCTTTATAAGAAAAACCTGAGAGCCGGCATAGCGATGCATGTCTCTAATCCCAGCACTCAGGAAGCTGAGGAGGAAGATCCCAAGTTCGAGACCAGTGTGGAAAATTTAGCAAGATCTTGTCAGAGAAAAGAGCAAGAACAGAGAGCGAGAGCCTTTCCGCTCACAGTTTTAGTTCTTTGTCGCTTTATAGCTGGGGTTCAGTTTTAGTATGACCAGGGTATCACCTCTTCCCCAAATTGTGCTGTTTTTCTGTGTATAACATTTTTGTGTTTTCGGTGTATTGCTCATTACTACTGCGTGGATAGCCATTTGTCATTGTGGTTCTCCTCCTGTGGGGATGGCGAAGGATATGCGTTGGCTCTGTGTAACCTCAGCTCTCTGACCTTAAAGGCTGAGCTGTGCAGTGTGAAACTACCCAGGGTCAGCTGCAGGAGGTCTGGACCCTGCTGACTTACAAAGCATTTTGGATCTAAACACACTTGTGGAAGAGCAGTTGTTTTGTTTCCTCTGGGGGACATGTGCAACTCTGGGTATGTACAGGGCTGTCTTCTACTTGGTGAGCTGCCACAAACAAATGCTTGTGCATTTCAGATCATACTGGTCCAAAGTTTGACATCGATATGCTGGTTTCACTTCTGAGACAAGAAAATGCAAGAGACATTTGTGTGATCAAGGTTCCTCCAGAAATGAGATATGCTGATTACTTTGTGATTGGCAGTGGAACTTCCACTCGGCATTTACATGCCATGGCCTACTACATTGTGAAAATGGTAGGTTGATTTCTTTTCTCTTTTGCACCATTGAGTGGAATAATGGCAGTGCCTCAGTCTGAAGAACATGTGAGGAAGCCCAAACTTTCAGAATTTGCCTGAATGTGTTTTATATTCTGTGTTGTTTGATAAAAACAGTCTGGGAACAAGTACAGCATCTAACCCTGTTGAGTCAAGATATTTCTAATTCTTGTTTCTTGTGACCAAAAAGAAAATAATAGTAATAATAATAATTTGAGACAAGCTAGAAGACAGCGTAAGCCAAAGGGATTTCTAGAACAGCACTGTCCAGTGTGGTTGCCACCAGTACAGTACATTTCAGGTGATTACTATAGTATTGAACAGCCATAAAACATTTTCATAACTATAAAAAGTTGTTGGACAGTGCTGGTCTAGAGTTTAATTCTAGTATTTGAGCATGTCCAGTCTTTCCAAGCATCATGCTTAGTCATTGGCAAGGTAAAAATGATGCAGATACAGTCCTTGCCCTCTGAATTCAGGGATCTAATGAAAGAAAAGGAAAGGAGTTGATCAATCAGAATGAGGAAAATACGGTATTCGGAAGCTTCCAGCTGATTCTGGCACCATTCTGCAGGGGAATAAACCCTGCTGAAAACTGGCAACAACTGGGGGTGGGGTGTTTGGTTTGTTTTGTTTTTTGGTACCAGGAATAGAACTTGGGTCCTTGCAGGTGGTGGAACCACTGAGCTAAATGCCCGGCCCCTTATTTTGTTTTTTTTTGAAACAGGGTCTTGCTGTGTAGCCCAGGCTGGACTCAAATTCACAGTGATCCTCCTGCCTCAGCCTCCCAAGTGCTGGGATCACAGGTGTGCATCACCATACCCAGCTGGAAAGGCTTTTAAGACCAAAATAAGCTGGGCCTGGTGGCACATGCCTGTAATCCCAGCACTTGGGAGGCTGAGGCAGGAGGATTGCCAGGAGTTTAAGGCTAGAGTGGGCTACATAGTGAGTTCAAGGTCAGCCTGAACTACAAAGCGAGACCCTGTCTTAAAAAACAAAATAAAACAAAAAACCCCAAAAGAATAGTAAAATAAGAAGGAGTCTAAACCAGTTCTGGTATAATGTGACAGAGCAGAGGAAGATTCCAAAAAAGTAGTTGGAGGAGATAGGAAGAGAACCAGGAGTGTGTGGAGAAGAGTTGTGAAACAGGGTCTCTATCAGATGGAATAGTGGGATGCAGTGAGATGAAGACTTAGGAGTTATTGTTAGACTTGGGGATATAAAAAGAATGGAAGTTTTCAGAGTTTCTGGAAAAAGAAAAATGAGAGACTAAAAATTACTTTTACCAAAGTTTTAGACGAGAAGGGAGAGACGTGGAAGGTCAATAAATTTTTATTGTTTGTAGTAAAAACATACTGTAGGTCCTGCCATTTTTTTTACATTTTTAAGTGTATAATTCCGTGGTTTTAAGTACATTAATTGTTCCACCATCCATTGCTGGAACTTTCACCTTGCGACTCTATACCCTTTAAATAGTACCTTCTCATTCCCTTTCCCCTCCAGCTGCCATTCTGCTTTGTATGAATTTTACTACTCTTCCTATCTCATGAAAATTATATGGTATTTGTCCTTTTGTGACTATTTCACTTAGCACTGTGTCTTCAGGGTTCATCCATGTTGTAACATGTGCCAGAATTTCTTAAGACTAATAACAACTATATTTACAGGTTTGTACCATATATACCGCACTGTTTATCCATCCGTTCATTGATTACAACTTTTGGCTGCTGTGCATAGTACTACTATAAACATAGGTATAGAAGTATCTGTTCATGTGCCAACTTCTAATTTTGGATGTACATAAGAGGAATTGCTGGATTATACGCTGATTCTGTCTTTAAGTTTTTAATTTTTTGTTCCCTCTCTCTTTCATAGTGGCTATACCAATTTAAAATCCCACTAGTAATGTGTGTGTGTGTGTGTGTGTGTGTGTGTCTGTCTGTCTCTGTGTTTGTGTATGTATGTGATTATTGGGGATTGAGCCTAGGGAGCACTCAGCCACCCCCCCCACCCCCCACCGCGCCTTTTTTTGGTACCGGAGATCGAACTTGGGACGTTGCATTTGCCAGGCAGGGGGCAGAACCACTGAGCTAAATCCCTGGCCCCCACCCCTTTTAAAATTTTTATTCTGAGACAGGATCTTGCTAAATTGTCTCTGTTGAGCTGGAACCTGTCATCTTCCTGCCTCAACCTCCCAGATCGTAGGATTGCAGGTGTGTGCCACCATGCCTGGCCTATGCTAGTTTTGGGTTTTTTGTTTGTTTTTTTTTTGGTACTGGGCATCGAACTCGGGTCCTCGTGCTTGTGCAGCAGTTGGGTTTTTTTTTTTATAATGGCCATCCTTATGAGTGTAAAGTGGTAGTTCATTGTTGTTTTGATTTGGAGTCCCATAATGATTAATGATGTTGAACATATTTTCATTTGTTTATTGGCCATTTGTATATGTTCTTTGGAGAAATTATAGTCATTGGGTCATTTGTAAACAGGTATATTTTGTTGAGTTGCAGGAGCTTTGTTTTTTAAAATATTAATCCTTTCTTAATCTGTTGGTAGCATCCTTTGATTCACAAAATTATTAAATTTTGATGATTCCACCTTTGTCTTTTGTTGCCTGTGCCTTTAATAACATATCCAGGAAAATCATTGGCAAAATAATGTCATGAAGCTTTTCCTTGTTTTCTTCTAAGAGTTTAATGGTTTTAGGTCCTTAATTAGGTATTTAATCCATTTTAAATTAGTTTTTTGGGGGCCGGGGATTTAGCTTAGTGGTTCCGCTGCCTGCCTTGCAAGCACAAGAACCCGAGTTCAATCCCCGGTACCAAAAAAAAAAAAATTAGTTTTTGGAGGGTAGTATAAGGCTTCTTTCCATGTGGACATCCAGCTTCTTTAGCACTCTTTGTTGAAAAGACTGTCCTTTTCCTGTTGTGGTCTTGGCAGCCCTGTTGAAAAACATTTAACCATAATCTGTACAAGTTTATTTCCAGACTCCCTATTCCATTGGTTTATGTGTCTGACTTTATGACAGTACCATACTGTTGTAGCTTTGTGTACTAAGTTTTTGGTTTTTTGTTGCTGTTGTTTTGTTGATGAGGATTGAACCAAGAGCCTTGCACATGTTAAGCACTCTAACCGCTGAGCTACACCTCCAGGGCCAGTGTAAGATTTAAAATCATGAAATGTAAAACTGCCAACTTTGTTTTTCTTTTTCAGGATTATTTTAGCTATTCAGGATACTTGAGACTCTATGTAAATTTTAGGGTGGATATTTTTTTATTTCTTAAAGTTTGGATTTTGATAGGGATAGAATTGATTTATGGATTGCTTTGAAAAGTATTGACATCTTAATATTCTTTTGATCCATGAATACAGGATATTTTCCCATTTGTGTTTAATTTGTTTCAGCAGTATTTTGTAGTTCTCAGCATACTAGTCTGTGCCTCCTTTGGTATTTATTTCTAAGTGTTTTATTCTTTTTGATGCTATTGTAAGTGGAATTATTTTAATTTTCAGATTGCTTATTAGTGTATAGCAATTCAACTGATTTTTGTATATTGATTTTGTATCTTGCAGCTTTGCCAAATTTATTAGTCCTATTTTTTGGGGGGCAACTTTAAGGTTTTCTACATATGAGATCATCTTGTCTGCAAAAAGATAATTTTTTTTTTGGTACCGGGAATCGAACTTCAGTCCTTGCGCTTGTGCAGCAGGCGGCAAAACCACTGAGCTAAATCCCTGGACCTGCAAAAAGATAATGTATTTCTTTCCAATTTGGATGCTTTTTTTTCTCCAGCTACATCTTTCAATGTTGTGTTGACCAGAAGTAGCAGAAGTGGGCATCTAGTCTTGGTCCTGATCTTCAAGGAAAAGCTTCAGTCTTTCATCATTGAGTATGCTAGAGTGTGCTAGCTGTGTGCCTTTCATATGTGGCCTTTATTACATTGAGGTAGTCTCCTTTTATCCTTAGTTTGTTGTGTGATTTTATCATGAAAGGGTATTGAATTTTGTCAAATGTATCAATTATCATGTGGATTTTCCCTTTATTCTGTTAATGTTTTACATTGATTGGTTTTCATATGTTGAAATGTGTGCATTCCAGGAATCTCACTTGATTATGGTGCATAGTTGTTTTTTTCTAGTACTAGGGATTGAACCTAGGGCCTCAGTCACGCTAGATAAGCTTTCCACCATTGAGCCATTTATACTGACCCTTATTTTGAAACATCCTGGGCTGTCCTCAAATTTGTGATTTTCTTCCTGCCTCAGCCTCCCAAGTAGGTAGGATATATTTGTGAGCCACAAATGCCTGGCTGTTTAATATGCTGCTAAGTTTGGTTTGGTAATATTTTGTTGATGACAGAATATTCACCAGGGATTGATTAGGGGGGTGCAATACTTATTATTGAACACAGGGCCTTCACACTTGAACTACACCCTGGCCCTTCTAAAATTTTATGAAACAAGGTCTCGCTAAATTGGCCAGGCTAGGCTCAAACTTGTGGTCCTCCTGCCTTAGCTTCCCAGAGTGCTAGGATCATAGGTGTGTGCCACCACACCTGATTAGTTTTTTTTTCTTATAGTTTCTGGCTTTCCTGTCAATAAGAAGTTGATCTGATAGAATTGGGAAATGTTCTCTCCTATTTACTTTTTTGTAAGTTTGAGAAAGTATTTTTCCTAATTCACCAGTAAAATTGTCTGACCCAATTTCTGGGTTGGGAAATTCCAGTAACTGCTTCAATCATCTACTAGTTATAGGTCTCTGCAGTCCTTTTGTTTTGTTTTTGAGACGGGGTCTTGCTATTCAATTCAGACTGGGCTTGAACTCACCAAATAGCCCAGCGTGGCCTCAAACTCCCAGAGATCTTACTGCCTCAGCCTCCCAAGTGCTGAGATTTCAGGCATGTGCTGCCACACCCTGCTGGTCTCTGCAGTCTTTATTTTTAAATGATTCAGTCTTGGTAGATTGTGTGTTCCAGGGATTTGTCTTTTACCTAGGTTATTCAATTTGTTACATAATTGTTTGTAGTACTTCTCTATTTTTTTCCATGGAGTCTTGCTCTGTTGCCCAGGCTGGTAACAAACTTCTGGACTCAAGCCACTCTCCCACCTTAGCTTCCTGAGTGATGGGACTGTAGGTGGGTGCCACGAGCCCAGTTAATAGTGCTTTTTTAGACAAGGTCTGTTTTGCTTTTTGGTTCAGGCTGGCTTTGAACTCTTGGCAGTCTTGCTGCCTCAGCCTCCTGAGTGCTGGGATTACAGGTGTGTGCCACCACACTCAGCCATAGTACTCTTAAAATTATTTTTATTTTTTTAAAATTGGTAGTAATATCTCCCATTTCTGATTTTAGTTTGCTTTTTTTACTCAATCTAGCTAAAGATTTAAGTTTTATTGATCTTTTTTTTGAAGAACCAAATCTTGGTTTCTCTGATTTTTTTTCCTGCCCTAGTTCTTGTTACCTTTCCTCTGCTAGCTTTTGATTCCCCCCCCCCTAGTTCTTGAGAGTGTGATAATTTTCATTTGTCTCATTTCCTACTTGTGATTTTTTGACCTATTGGGTATGTATAAATTTTCACACGTGTGGATTTTTCCAGTTGTTCTTAATTTCATTTTATTCTATTGTGATCAGAAAATATTTTGTATAATCTCATTTCATTCTTAGAGTTTCTTTTGTAGCCTAATAAATGATTATCCTAGAGAACATTTCTTGGACCCTTGATAAAAAAGGACATTCTGCTACTGTTTGGTACAGAGCTCTGTTAATGTCTTTTGGGGCCACTTGGTTGCTATAGTGTTGTTCAAGTTATCCATTTCCCTGGGCATGGTGGCACATGCCTGTAATCCCAGCACTTGGGAGGCTGAGGCAAGAGGATTGCCCCAAGTTCGAGGCCAGCCTGAATTAAAGAGCAAGATCCTGTCTTTAAAAACCTTAAAAAAAAAAAAAAAAAAGTCATCCCTTTCCTTCTTGCTCTTCTGATTGTTCTATTGATTATGGACCCTGGGCTACTGAAGTCTTACTGTGGTACTACTGTTTCCCCCTTCAGGTGTCAATGTATTCCATATATTTAGGAGCCGATCTTTGGTGTTGGTATCTATCTCTTGTAACAGTTTTTGGCTTAAATTCTGTCTTGTCTGCTAAGCCTATCTGTTGGTGTTAACAAAAGCTAAGAACTGAGACCACTTATAGCTTTCTTGGAAATAGACACATAGAATGAAGTTGTCCATTAGCATATCCTGAAGCTACATGAGATGAAATCCGTAGCACCAAGAAGACCTAGCCTTAAAACAGGAAAGTGTTTTAAAACAGGAAAGCCTGCCTTACCCAAGGGTGAAAGGAAGCTGGACAGCCACAAGGATGATGTAGGTGGGGACCAAATGCTAAGTGTGCCTAGCGCTCTGTGCACCAGAGGCACCTTGTGAGTGAAGAGCGTGGCCTGCTCAGAAGAAAGGATTTAGAGGGTAAATATTTTTGCTGTTATTAACTGTGTGGCAAAGTATAGCTATGAGAAATGAGTAAGCTAGTTCCCAGATAGACCAAGAAAAAGGCTACTGGATCCTCAGTAAGGGCAGACTTCTTCCTGTCTTTAATCTATGGTCTGGCTTTTTTCAGTACAAATACCTGAAATGTAAGAGTGAGCCTCATGTTAAGATTGAAGGGAAGGACACTGATGACTGGCTCTGTGTGGATTTTGGTAAGTTATTTTGGCATACAGTACAGATAAATATCGATATCAAGCCAGATATTATCTCATTTCCAGCTCACAAAATCGATGAGAACATTTCTGTGTAAGATTTTTTGAAATTTTGTTTTATTTGTAACTCAGGTGATCTTAATCCTGTGTGAAATCTTTACCTAACCTCAGTATTCTAGATACAGTAATACATTTTTGGAGGAAGACACACTGTCTTAAGTCACTTCTCTTATCTCTGGAACAAAATACCCAATACCTGCAATTTAAAGGAGAAGTTTTGGCCCACAGTTTGCAGAGGTTTCATCCCATAGTTGGCTGGCTCCAGGCCGCATGGCAGTGGAATAGCTGTGGACGGCAATGGCAAACATAGAGCTCGAAGGAGGATAGACCCTGCCAGGCCTCCAGGGACCCACCTAACAGCAAGTCATCTCTGAGCCTCCATATTCCACCCACTTCCCAAAAGCCCCACCTGTGAGCAAATAAGGAAGGTTCTTGGGGGTACTTGAGTACAGCCCGGGCAACTTAGAGAAACTATCTTAAAAAGAGCTGGGGATATAGCTCAGTTCTGTCCCCAGTAGTCTAAGGTTTAATCCTAGTTGCGTGCTAAGTTGTCCTTCCACTTTCGTGGATACTGATAGACAACACAAACCTCTTTGGGAGTCAGAGACAAAAACAATTTGCTACTTGCACTTGTAGCCAGCTCCATGAATTTTGCACTGTTTTGACACTGGTTCCTTGAGCACCAGGTTCCCTAGGGTAGCACAGGGGTAGAACACAGGAAGCAGGCCTACTTCTGCTCTCATGAGAGATGCCTAGGCTTAAGTAAACGGTTTTTCACAACTGTCACTATAAATATTTTGGGCCAAGTGTTTTATAGGGTGTTAGCACTATCCTCCCCAATGGCGACAGGGTCCCTAGATATTCCTCATATTGCCTCAACTGAGAATCAGCTGTAAGCAGAGCTGCCCTTTGTTCTGGAAACAACTGCTTTTCCTACAAACAGCCTTGTCAAGAACCCAAAACCCTAGTACTTTCTTTGCTCACAAGATTTGCAGAAATGTGATGTGCATGAAGCACTTTCTCCCAGGAGAAACCTGACAGCACCGTTAGTGGATACAGTTAACTTCGTCAGTAATGACACGTTGATACAGTGGATACCCTGAGAAAGGCACAGCCTCAATGCTGTGGTAATTTTTGCTGGGATGGGGGCCACAGTTTGCTCTCTGATAACACAAGAATAAAAGCAAATATGTATTTCTTCACTGTAACTTTTTATCCCTGATAGGTAGCATGGTGATTCATTTAATGCTTCCAGAAACCAGAGAAACGTATGAATTAGAGAAATTATGGACTCTACGTTCTTATGATGACCAGTTATCTCAGATACCACCCGAAATGTTACCTGAAGACTTTATTCTTGGAATAGAAGAAGAGGACACTTCCTTGTTGACTCCAGGGGAGTTCAAATGTGAATAAAACTAGATGAACTGTTTCAGATTTGGATTTAGTCACTTGGAAAATACAGCTCCCTAAAGCCTAACTTCCTAGGTTAGGTTGCCAGTAGAACAAGTCTTGTCTATGTCATGGGCACTCACGCTGACTGACTCACCAAGATGACAGATAAATGAGTTAATGCTTGCGTCAAGAATAAGTACATTCCAACCAAAACTTTTTGTTGTTTTTTTTTTGGTACTGGGGATCGAACTTGGGTCCTGGCGCTTGCGCAGCAGGCGGCGAAACCACTGGGCTAAATCCCCACAGGATTTCCTGGAGTTAGCACTGGCACATGAGCTCTCTGCACAGACTTTTATTTTGCTTATATGCAAGTACTCAGTATAAATGGAATGGCCAAAAATCTTAACAAAATAGATCACTGGCCACTGATCCTGTTACTTTGAGGTGATAGAGGGTAACAGTAGATACCTAGAGGGCAATAGTAGATATCAAGGTTTTTCTAGGATGGGATTTCTGTTCCCTTTCAGAATAATCCAAATGACAGAAGCAAGCAAATTATTAGAGAAACTAGTTCTTGGTTCAGATGAACAGTATAAGGAAGGTTTACATTAATGTACCATAGGCTGGAGAATATAATGGTAAGTAGTCGTGCCAATTTCGAGATTGACATAGTATTATTAAAACTGTGTAGACCAAATTCAAACATCACATTCATTTGAAAACATACTACACAACAAGCTGTAACTAACGATGAAAAACTTTATTCTGCATCAGGGTATCTGGAAAATGAAGCTGCATGTGGGGCACATTATAGATGAGGAATGATCATATACGGTGAGTACAAAACCCAATTACAGAATTATTTCTTAGCTAGTACCAGATACTCCAAATTATCAATGCTAAAGTGAAAGGAAAACACGATTTGCCACACTAAAAGGACAGAAGTGAAATATGGCAGAATTTATACCAGCAGATATAAATGCAGCACCTACCTGTATTTTTTTTAAATCAAGTATTAGAAAAATCAAACTTTGCAGAAGAGCTCTGGCCTTAATTAAGCACATCTCACCTGAAATCCAACCAGAAAGCCAGTCCATAATTTTTCAGCAATTTAAATTCATTGTATGAAAAAATTATAAATGTTAGGTGAATTCAGTGACAAAAAGGGCACTTTTTGGCTAAACTACAAAATAAACTGGTTTTCTGAAAATATTTAGGAAAACAATTTTCAAAATGTCTAATACGCTGATCTTCAGAAAAACAGTTTTTGTGAAACTTAACTAGTCTGTAGAAATTCATCTTGAAATACAAATGAGGCAGTGTGTTTTAAAGGGTTATATAATGCCCTTCAGATCAGTGTAATGAGATGACAGTGATCATCTTATGAAAGAAAGCAACACAAAAACAGAGAGCAGCGTGGCTTCCGAGACCACCCACACAACTGTACACCCTGGGCTTTGCCATCAAGTTAAGGAATGGGTAAATGAATTCAGTTTCAAAGGTCAGGTGTTTTCAGTCATTCATATTGCATTCTCAAAACATTTTTCTTGAGTCCTCCACCTTCTGACTTACCTTCTAATAATTGGGCACAGAGTATACAGAAATCCTGTTACATTCTATGTAATATTTTAAGTGGACTTAAAAAAAAATAGCTTAGCAAGGCTCATGACAGTGCCAGGTGCAAAGAAATGTGTAGCCTTTCGTTAATTTAAACACTGTCACTGTTGTTATTCACAAATAAGATCTTTTGGAGTTTGCTTGTAGACCGATTGGTCCGAAGGTTACTGGCAAACTAAGCATCCTGTAAGACAAGCTGAAGCTTGCTTTTTGCCTGTTTGAAGTCCTACATCTCTCTCAATACACTTTCTTCAGGTAGATAATCAAAGCACGAAGCACTTATGCATTCAGTCATATAGCTAAACAAAAAACCTGAAGTCTCCTAAAGCCATTTAAACTAGATGTTCTAAAACCTCCTGCCACCACCACTTTGCTGTTAGTACCACCAAAAACATTCCAACTGTAAACAAAGGAATAAGTGGCATTGCTGCTCTCCAAATATAGGCACTGCTCTATATCTTTGAACATTTGTTGGATTTTCAACTAATAACTGTGTCAGAAGCCTCAAAAAAACCTGAAATTTTCCAGCTTTACTGTCACCAGCCAGAAGTAAAATTCCTTTTTCACTTATTTGCCTGTTAGCTGACAGCTGTTAAATTTTACATTTTTTAAAAAACAGTTGGACTTTTATCTTTATAAAGTATATAAAATTTTCAAAAAAAGGAACAATTTTGCTTTTCACTGTATTACTGAATACCTGAGGTAGTTGAGTAAAAATGCACATTTAATACCCCTGCCAACACCATTCAGCACTTCCCTTAGGTTATTTGTGTTAGTGTTAGATTAAAAATAAAACAATGGTTTTTCTACACTAATGGCTTAACATCTCAAGTTCCTGTGATAATTCTATTCTGATCCAATTTAACAATTGGATTTAGGAGCAATCTTTTTAATTTATTTGATGAATTTTGTGAATGCACCATTTAAGCCAATTTCTGGCAGTATGGGGGAATATTAAGAAAAATTAGACTATTCATTATACTGTGAGACTATGCAAAGGGAAGTGCAGAGCTCTTTCTCTCCCTCTCCCCCTTTTTCTTTTTCTTTCTTTTTTTTTTTTTTAAAGCTGGGTGTCATACATTTCAGAGAGCATAAAGTATACATTCTCACAGAGACAGGAGTTCAAAAGTTGCCTGGTCCTCAGAAACAACTGGCTAGGTAACAACTTGTGCATGTGATTCTGGATAGGGTCAAAGTCCATCTGTTGGTTAAGCAATCTGTCTTTGGTTTGGCATCTGCCTCTGTGGGGGGCTTTTCCTGAGCCTTTACTTCCGCCTTGACTGAGGTGGTCCACTTTGCAGAGCCTTCTGCTGTTGGTGCTGCTTTACCTGAGTCAGAATTTCCTGAATTTTTCTCTGAGCAACCTGCAAAAAGATGGAGCTTTAAAAAATCCACCTAATCAGAAGTTATTAAAATTTCTGTATTCCATTTTAACAACTTCAAATAGAAATCCATCTAAAGATTGGAGATACATACTCATCAGTTGCTAGCAGTCTCTGAAATAACCTGCTACAAGGGAGACTAAAAGTATTAAGAATCAGCTGGACACACTGGCACATGACTGTACTCCCAGGTACATGGGAGGCTGAGGCAGGAGGATCAGTCCTTGAGGCCAGGGGTTCCAGGCCAGCCTAAGTAACAGACTGACAGACCCCACCTCTTAAAAAGAATTTTTGTTGAGCATCAAACAGCCTTAAATATTTTCATGAGGTGGTAGCACCTGTGTGAAAATGGCTTCTGCTTGAGAGAGGGAGGCAAAAGAGCTGCCTTATTTTAGCACCCACTTGCCTGGCAAGCATAGAAGTGACCAGTTATTTTGACGACCACTTGGTCATTCTCATCAGGTGTCTGGTCACGAGGAACAACAACTTCAGCACTTGACAGATTCTGGAGTTCATTCACCTGAAAGAGAAACAGATCATGTTAAGCAGCATTTTAAAAAGCTACCATTTCCTGAGCACTTACTATGCACTAGACACTGAGCTGTGGCTTTGTAAGTATCATTTTAGCCACTAATAAGCCTGAGCTTAACACTGTCCCCATTTTAAGATAAGAACTAAGATTCATCCAAAGAAACTAATTTGTCCATTTATACAAGTAAATGGCAAAACCAGATTCAAATTCTGATTATATGATTCCAAAGTATATGCTTTTTAATGCTTTAAAATTGTAAGTAGCTTTGGAAATGACCTACACATTGTATTAGAAGAGTGGAAGCCATTTCCTCTTTTTCAGTTACAGGGTTAGAAGTCATAGATGAAATTTAAAAATTTTCAGTTTATGTCCTTTAGTGCTTGTATAATAAAAATGTAACGCTTCAGTTATAACAACAGAATGATGCTGAATGCCCTTTACAAATACAGGACATTTCTGTCACACACAGTCATCTGAAAGACACATTACTTTCACTAGTAGCTGACACCAACACTCAAGTAATGGGCAATTTTCTCCAAACCTTGGTCAAGGCAGTCTTGCTTTTTTTATAAATTAGCCAAAATTCAGGGTCTTGGAACTCCTAAGTACCTTTCAACGCTTTCCCTTTCATACCACTGCACAGGTTTTGCTGAAGTACTTGCCGTTTTGCCTCCTTTTCCTATAACTCTGCCAGCAGCAAAGGATGGCACTCTGATATGAGCTTCAAGTTTCACTTCTTCTTTAGGACTAACAAAGTTTTCTTCTTTAATTTTTCCATAAATTCTTCCCTGAGCCTGCAGGTGAAAATACAGTCTATCGATACGTTTCATGTTTGAAACACAAAAGTTGAACTAACTTTCAAGGCACCCTAAATCTAACTTGAATGCTGAAAGACAGTGTAATAGATAGAAGTTAGGGAGTCCTGGAATAACTGCATGCACCACATATAACGCAACTGAGTGACTGATGAAAGATAAGCCATAGTCTTTTTTTTTTTTTTGGTACCGAGGATTGAACTCAGGTCCTTGTGCTTGTAAGGCAGGCGGTGGAACCACTGAGCTAAATCCCCAGCCAAGCCATAGTCTTATGATGAAAACAGTTAAAGGCAATTATTAGTCTAGCTAAAACACATTTTTTGTGGGCAAATGGCCATCTATATGCCAAGCTTGAAACGTAAAAACTTATCTGGTAATGAAAAATAAATTGCATTTTCCTGACCAAAAGAGACTGGGAGCAAGGCATTGTGGTACATGCCCACCATAACCCCAGCCACTCAGGCTGAAGCAGGAGGATTGTGAGTTCGCCACTCAACTTGGAAATAGAGTCAGATCTCAAAAAAAAAACAAAAACACCTGGGAAAGAACTACATAGCCAGCTGTGCCAGGCTGACAAAGAGCCACTCTGATGTCTAAATGGCCAGTTAGAAACCTGGTGAGGAATATTCTGTGTAAACATGTTTCTTAATCTTAGCCAGGCGATTTCTGCTGTAAATAGAGGCTACAAAATCAGGTTAACACTTAGGATATTTATAACCAACATATACTAACAGCTACTGCATACATTATAGGTGTTACATATAAATAACACCTTCTGTTAGCTACACGCATTAACTTGTTGTGGTTACACTATAGGAAACAGAACCAGGTCTAATCTGAT